CACTATGAGTCAGAACCGACTTGAAGCACCTAACAATGACAACAGTAGACATTTGATAAATACTCTGAATAAATTTATGTTAGATGTGTTCAAAAGAAAAGAGAATGAATATTAATGAATTTTTGAATTAATATAGTCTATCAGATATATATTTATTAAGATGTTAAAGCTTCAATTAAAAAAATTATCTTCTAACTTGAGTATAGGCATATGTGCTTTATGTCATGTAAAGAATCCATAGCTTACATTCAGAAAACTTGGCCCCTTATGGATCTCAGGATTTTCAAGTGATAACAGTCACTCAGCAGCTATGTTTGATAATGCTTTCTCAAGTCTAATTAGCATTGGATCTTCAAGTAGCAGTTAAAAAACCTTGAATGTTATTTACTGAATCATGAACAATATTATGGCTTGCTTTACCTTTATTTATGGTACACTACAGTAAAAAATGGGAATTATTCAAGTGCAAATATTGATCAAGTCAAACATTATTAGAGAATTAAGCCACAACAGTTTTTTAAGTGGCTAAATAGTGAACTAGGAGAAATGATATATTTAAAATATATTTTCATCATGAATTGGTACCATTTCTGTAAAAGATGGCACAGCTAGTGTTCTTATGTAAGCAGAAGAAAAAGAGATTTTTTTAAAAAATAATATAAAAGAGTTTTTATCATAGAATTCAAATCAATATATGTAAACAGTCCAACAGCCCATTCTGGCACTTCATGTACATTCAAAGCATCCATTAAAATGATCTGGAAAAGGAGTTGCACTACCTTTTTCACAGTTATGATGCCAACTTGGAAATTGGGATCTGTATTAATGTCAAAGGTGTCTGCACCATCTCCATCAACAATAGTGTACTTCATTTCTGCATTGATTCCTTCATCCAAGTCCTTGGCAAACACTCTCCCCACAGTGGAGCTAATCGGGGCGGATTCCAACACACTCATCTGATAATGTTCTGTGAAGAAAGGGAAGGACATGCATTTTTGGTAATCGGCCCATATAAAATATGCCTCGTCATTATCCACATCATATCAGGCATGCGCTGCAAAACATCTTTTTCCTAGCTCGAACATTAACACTTTAAGTTCAGTTTTACAGATGAAAACCTGAGACTCAGAGAGGCTAAACAGACTATATCAGATGATAGCTTTGTACTGGATGTTTCATAAGGAAGAGCCAAAATAGCTTGAACATAATTCTAAGAGTAGGGCAGGGTAAAAGCAAAAATACTTCTCGTCCCAGTGAATCTACCTTCGGAGTGGTGGGAAGTACCTTGCTTTCCAGTCTTTTGGTATTCCTGTTGAACTGAAATGTTTCCCCAAATGCCAGTTCCTTCTGAGAAAGATAGAAATATCTTGTGGTCACAGAGTACATGTGTTCTGTTTACAGTTCTCAATGCCTACATTCTCTTTTATTGCGTGGTTGAGTGCCCATCTCTATGTCCACCAGCCCAAAGCTAATGGTGCCAAATGATATAAAGGAGGAACAACCACAGAGAGCAGGCTTGACTAACTCCATGTGTTGTCCATCAGTGCATCCTTGCACCTGGGACTGCCCACTGGTTTCTTTTTTGTGGACAGACCCCTGAGACTTCTTGTTCTGTTGTTCCAAATAGAACACCAAAAAGTTTTCACATATGTAAGAAGCTCAGAGTTGGTAATGTTCTTCTTTCCAACTTTATAATCCTGATTCACAATTAAATTTAGTTTATTTTCATGAAGTTGTATCTTTGCCAACTTACCTTCTTTGGGGCCCACCCAGCTTTTTGACAGTCGTCATTATTTTGTCAGTCATAATGTGACTGACTAACAAAGAAAATTACACATTCACATTTTCAATATGTTCATGGCCTCTTTTATTCTAGTATGCATTCCAAGCTACAGGGAAGCCTGGGACGTGAGTGTTCGAGTTTCACAAAGAGTTGGAGAAGCGGGCAGCACCCAGCCAGCTCACAGCACACTACCTTGCACAGAGAAGAAATGATGCCTGTTCTTTGCAAATATGATCCAGGAAATTTCTAACATCTGTACTAAGCTGTCAGGCACTTGAATTTCATGATCTCATTCCATTCACCTCCAAGGGAGTTGATGGATTAGACTTTCCTATTGCAGAACTTTTGGGAGAAACAAACAAGCATCTGCCTATATTTTTTTCCACACCAGCAAAGCCATGTGTTATGCATTTAAACATATACATACAATTTCTATATTTGATACACAATATTAGAAATAAGTAGATTGAGATCTTGATATTCCATTATATTTGGCTCAATTAAAGGTGACTGAGCTATTTCAGTGGAAAATAGTAGGTATGTCATTTTGACAACATCTTGTAATCAGTTGTGGTAACATTTGTGAAAAAGAAGGAAAATGAAATTCCTAGAAACAAGAGAATGAAGAATTAGAAGATTAAGAAGGCAGTAGAGCTTATCTGAGGTAGGTTTATACAATAGTGAGATCATCTAAATTTAGTTTTAGCAAGTAGATGGGAAATATTTAATGGTGAGGTAAAGCAAATTAAAAAAAAAGTCCAAAGTAATGACAGTTTTAGAGGAAGCAGAGATGATATGCAAAAAATGCTCAGAGACACAAGAGATTTAAATTTTATACATTTCCATTTTGTCTTCAGTGTAACTTAGTCCATACTTTCACTCCATCTGAGATTCCTCATTATTACTTTATTTTGGAAAAGCAGCAACTCAAAATGTATGCTGTTGAGTGGTGTTAGAATGTTGGTTTTGGGCGACAGGACTAAAACCCCTGTTATCATTGTGTCATGTTCTGCCGTTGTGAAGCTGCCATGTTTTGTGTGACATGACTTTCCTACAATATGTCCAAATCCGTATACTTATGAACTATGTAATAACTTTGGTTCCTCTGCCCTTTTTACCTCCATCAGAGATTTTGCCTAGTGTCAAATTTAAAAAGTCAAATAGAGTAGTCCAAGGATGTTCAAAAATGTACTGTACAGTGAGTACAATATAGTAATAAGATGGGACCCACAGTGTCAGCAAAGCAACAAAAATCCAGTCCATTATGGCATTTCACAAACTGTTCCATGGTGCACTAGTATTCTGTACTGTAGCACCAATCAACTTAGTAATCTCCTTACTTTTATAATTTGTGAAATGCTTATCTAGTATGCTGCCTTTTCATTTCATGAGCTCATGGGGACTTCATGTACATCAGTTACATGTAAATATTTGCACTCTTTTCCTGTATTTACATGGATAAAATAGATGGTTCATTTGGTCTGGCTGACTCAAAATATAGTTATTCAGCTGATGGTCTGACTTGACTGTTTCTGTTTGTAGTATGTATTATATATGTTTAACCTGGCATCCCTGGTTAAGTCTTTCACCTAGGAGTTGTCTTCTGCTGTTACTTCTCCAGCTACTCCCTTTAGGCGTCTGCTTCCAAATTGATGTCTCCATTCCTGAGCCCCATTCCACAGTCTTACCTCTATATTTCTACCTCCCTTAAGGACATTTCAACCTGATTGTCTTGCTGTCACTTCATATTCAAATCTAAATCTATCTTCCTTCTTTCCCGCTACTAGTTCCGTTATGCTTCCTCTGTTGCTTTCAGTGTTACAACCCTTCTCCCTGTCACCCAGACTGAAAACATCATTGTCATCTTTGACTCCATCCTCTCCCTTGGTTCCCTTGTGCAAGAAATCAAAAGACACTCTACTCCTCAGCCTTTTCCTTAGTCCTTACTGGTTCAAGTATTTTGACTCTACAAGCCTCCTAACTGATTAGTCTTCTGCTTCTAGTCTCCAAACCTGGCAACCCATCCTGTACATAGCTACCAAATTAGTCTTTCTTTATGTATCTCTCTTGCTCAGAAACTTTCCAGTGACCACCATTAGAAATATAACACATTTGAAACACTAAAGAGCAGGTCTAGATTTTAGGGATCTTTGAACATAAAATTAACATTTCAACTTTATTTCTGCGTTATCCACTGCATCTTTGTTTTAAGCGTATTTATCTCCCTATACCTACAACATGCTTTGGGCATTCTGGCTTTTATGTATATATTTTATGACATACAGGTTTCCATTAGCATGGGCTCTAGGAGAGCAAGGATTTTGTTTGTCTTGTACACTGCTCAGTGTCCATACCTAGAATGGTGCCAGGAACACATCTTTTTTGAATGCACAAATGCTTCACCTCCTGGAATGTTTTCCTTTCTGCCTATTTAAATCGTTTCTATTTTTCATTCCCCTGCTGAAGTCTTTCCTTCTTTGAAGCCCTCATTCATCTTAGTTTATTGTGAAGGCATCATTCTGCACTATCCAAGTGGCATACCACATGCTGTTATTGGTCAGCTTTTTCTGTGCATAGAAGTTGCGCTGCCCAGGTGGATTCTAAGCTTCCCAGGGGCTGGGGCTGGGATTTGAGCATTTTTGTGCACCTCTCATTCCAGTGTGCTTACATAGTATGTGCTCAGTACATACCTGTGAATCGACTGGTTAAGATTGTTACATGGGTCAGTACAGGCATACATCGGAGATATTGTGGATTTGATTCCAGACCACCACAATAAAACGAATATTGCAATAAAGCAGGTCACATGAATTTTTTGGTTTCCCAGTGCATAGAAAAGTTATGTTTATACTATACTGTGGTATATTAAGTGTGCAATAGCATTATGTCTAAAAAAAAGTACATAG